CATTGTTTTTCACCTTGAGAACAGCATGGTGGTGCTCCTCTTTCTTTACACAACTTTGACACACAGGCCAACCTGGAGAAGATGTGCCGCACACTGGAAGATCAGCTGAGTGAGCTTAAGACCAAGGAAGAAGAGCATCAGCGCATGATCAATGACCTCAATGCTCAAAGAGCTCGTCTGCAGACGGAGTCAGGTAACACACCTCTACACCTCTCTGGAATGGAACAATTTGTAACCAATGATAATGAGAAAAAAAAGAGATGCTTTATTCAAATTGATTTATTCTCTGTTAGCTGGTATACATTTCTTAAAAGTAACATTGGTTCAGTACTGATTTTAAAGCACAATCTATCTGTGAACTTTCTTAGGTGAATATTCACGCCAGGCGGAAGAAAAAGATGGTTTGATATCTCAGTTGTCCAGAAGCAAACAGGCATTCTCTCAACAGATTGAGGAACTGAAAAGACATTTGGAGGAAGAAATAAAGGTAAAGGTACTTCCTGTAMGGGGTTGACTTTGGATTGGGATTCTGTTTTCTCTAAGGATATTTCCTACTCTCACATAAAATCAGAATGTTAGCTGCATCATTTTAATTTTTGAGCTATAAAGTAAGATGGCCARTTTTGCCTCATCCTTCCCTGGTAAGGGAAGTTGAGGAAGACATCCCTTCCAATATGGATACTGGGACAGGGTAAAAGAATATTAGGTCTTTAATCAGATTTATAATGACATACATRAAATGATTGGTATATCTCAAAAAGGAAATGCACATCTTAGTCCACTTTGTCACAGGGCAGCTGAAGGTTTAGAGCATACTTAAAAGAATTCAGTGAATCTCAGCTGAGAATCATTTAGACTTTGTCACTTAGACTCAATTRTATAGTCATTTAGAATTTACCCATCATCTCCCCTGAGAAGGCATTCTGGATTCTCAAAGCATGGCATCAATGTTCCATTTTTTCTTGGTCTGACATTAAATTTCATAATCAAACAATTTTCACCAGCTTTCATCAAGATAATTTTTCATTGTCTCACGGGAAATTCATTGTCCCAACTCACTTGTCTCCCAAGGCCAAGAATGCCCTGGCCCATGCCCTGCAGTCCGCTCGCCACGACTGTGACTTGCTCCGGGAACAATATGAGGAGGAGCAGGAGGCCAAGGGGGAGCTGCAGCGAGCCCTGTCCAAGGCCAACAGTGAAGTGGCCCAGTGGMGAACCAAATACGAGACAGATGCGATTCAGCGCACGGAGGAACTCGAGGAGGCCAAGTATGTGGTGACASACAATGAAGAATAAAAGTGAGACTGAAAATTCAAAGGTGACGTTGCAAGGGAAACATCACAATATTATGAGGAATAAGTCATGGATTTCATTTGGGGAAGAGCTGTTTCTTTGAMAGTGAGAAACTTTATCCTATAAAGCCTTTAGTGGTATAGTAAAGGCAAAGCCTAAAACAGCAAAAATCTAGACCATAACTCTGTGACTGAAAACTGCAAAACAAGATAGGCACACTACAGAAAAAAACACACTGAG